AATACTAATACTAATTTTTTTAATATATACTAATACTAATACTAATTTTTTTAGTATATACTAATACTAATACTAATTTATTTTTTTTAAAAAAATACTAAAAAATACTAATTAGTATTAGTATACTAATACTAATACTAAAAAAATTAGTATTTTTTGCCAACCCTGCCTGAGATAATCTTTAGTAAACTGCCGGTCTTGGCGTAGTTCCGCTCTTCTCCCATTATCTTATCATATCCCAGTAAACTATATCGTAACATTCATGCCACAAGATAGACCCTGACCACACGAAGAGTCCGGGGACACCTATTAACACTTCGGACTTTTTCTATCTCAAAACCCGAACGATTGTCCATGGAACTGGCATTCGTGAATGGCTCGGTCTGTACATGAAGTCCGCAGAACGTGCAGATATAGACATTCAGTTGCAGACTGTAACCCAACTTGAGACAACTCTCATGCAGCCAACCAAGACGGGAATATTTGCAAAGCAATGCGCCATGAATCATCGTATCTCAACAGTGATTATTCGTAACCTCGTTCCAGACTGGTTGATCGTTGGCCAAACGAATACGACGGGTCCACAGCGGTCATGCCCGTGCACAATAACCTGTCCTGATCAAGATGCTCGCCTCTCCACCGCATTGCATGCATGCGCGTCGATGCCGTTACATCACCCACTCAAGCGAGTCATTCGATCGGAGCGAGTCTGTTTCATGGAGTAATTTCGCCAAGTTTTTACGAAATATCCACTTGAGATGCGTCGGTAGTTGAGGACATGCTCGGGATCGGGCCCTTGAAGGTCCCCGTCATATGAGCTTCGGGTCCTCGGGCGGCACTAACTGCAGATCATCTACGCCACTATAGATTCAGTTCTGCAGATCGTATATCGGATCTTGAAGTATAAATTTTATACATCATGAGAGGAATATCTATCCATCAAGCTCAGGACAAGAGAGTCCAGGAGTTCAGCAATATTCTCTCATGGCGTCTTCTCTAGATCTCCTTCTGGGCAACCCCCAGTACGCCATATTTTGCGGCGTCACCTTGTTCACTCTCTTCCTCATACGATACTCTTTACTCGGCCATGTTACAAAGTTCCCGCTCTTGAATCCGAAAAAGTCACTTGAGCTTACCAGCAACCGTGTAACTCAGGACTTCATTGTCGACAGCAAGAACATCCTCACGAATGGAAGAGCTTTATATAAGGACCAGCCGTACAGAGCTTACACGGACTGGGGGAAAGTGGTCGTGATTCCACCCAAGTTTCTTGATGCTCTGAAGAGCCACAAGCAGCTGGACTTTACGATTCCTGCTGAAGATGTACGTCTCGCTTCTTATAGTGACTCGATAATCGCAGTGACTGATTTCAGCAGGACTCTCACGCATATGTTCCCGGATTTGAGCCTTTTGCTTCTGATCCACACATTTCGAAAGTTGTGACCAAGTATTTGACCAAGTCTTTAAGTTGGTATTCTGTTTGTCCTTTGCCTATAACATACTGACCCTTTTGACTCAGCCAAGCTCACGGCCCCACTCTCTGGCGAGGCGTCTCTGGCCTTTCGTCAAGTTCTTACGGACTCTACTGGTAAGTATCCTCCTCGAACATCTCCAGGGTTGAACAGATATTGATCTTGCCGCACGTTGTAGAATGGCATGAGATGCACCCTCAACATGATTTAGTCCGTATCGTATCGCGTATGTCATCACGAGTTTTCATGGGTGAAGCCCTCTGCCGCGATGAGGAATGGGTCAAGGCTAGCGGTGACTATACCGTCCAGGCCTTCAAGACGGGTGACATTCTACGGACTTATCCTCGATGGTCACGACCTTTTGTCCATTGGTTCCTTCCATCATGCTGGACTCTACGCAAGAAATTGGATGAAGCAATCCAATGTCTAAAACCCCATCTTGAACATCGCAGTGTTATCTCAAAAGAGGCCGAAGCACAGGGGAAGCCCTCGCCTTTCGACAATTCCATTGAATGGTACAAGAAGGAGGGTTCTACACGTGACCCAGTACTCCTACAAATCTCATTATCACTCGTGGCTATCCACACAACGTCCGATTTGCTTATGGAAACGCTTTTCAACATTGCCCAGCGTCCTGAATTATTCCGGGCTCTTCGCCAAGAGATCACGGATGTGTTGTCTACAGAGGGACTCAAGAAGACAGCCCTATATAATCTGAAGCTCATGGATAGTGTTATCAAAGAGTCCCAGAGATTGCGACCAGTTTTACTCGGTAAGTAGCTCACTAAGTATTCTGCGAATCTGGAACTTGCGACTAACCACTTTTCAAGGCTTCTTCCGAAGGCAAGCTATGGCAGACATCACTCTTCCAAATGGCGATGTGATCAGGAAAGGAGAAAAGATTGTCTGCGATGCAACTCACATGTGGAACGGCGATTATTATGAAGAAGCAGCAAAATTCGACGGCTATCGTTTCTTCCGAATGCGGGAGGCATCTGAGCAGGACAAGCACCCTCATCTTGTCAGCACTAGCTTTGATCATCTGGGCTTTGGTCATGGCAATCATGCGTGCCCGGGGCGATTCTTTGCGGCTAATGAGATCAAGATCGCGTTGTGTCATATGCTCTTGAAGTATGATTGGAAGCTGGCGGATGGTGTGGTTCCTAAGCCGTCTGGTTTTGGGATGATGTATTTACCTGATCTCCAGGCTAAGCTGCTTATCAGACGAAGGAATGAGGAGTTGGATATTGACTCTATCGAGACTTAGTCGATAGAGGGCGGCAAACTCAAAGCTGCTACCCATGAGGATAATTAGATAACGATAAAAGCAACAAATTGACTTTGCCCTTATTGAATGCTCTCTGCAAAATACAAGTCTTGTATACCATTTGTGTTTGATGTATTGTATATTTTGGCTAATTGGTATCGTTATCAACACGGCTCTGGATAGTCATCTCTGTTATACTCTCCAGTCCGCCGTGAATAAGAACGAAACATGCGTCTTGGTTTCGAAACACTTCCTCTCTCGCCTCGTTCTGCCAGTCTCGTTTGGCTGTCTAACGCTTGGACATCTTCTAGATGATATGTCCCGTTGCTAAGCCGGCTCGAGAATGTGCCGTCGGCTATGATGCCGCAATGCTTGTCGCGAGCGATCTTACCTATGAGATCCGCCATTGACATCTCGATGTGTAATTTGACAGTGTATGCTAGTGGATGGAACTGCATGTATCTGTCAACGATTAGTATGTTTTGACTAAGTCCAGGACTTAGGGGCATGGGCATACACAAAGGTATTTCGTAAACTCATCATGGCAATAATAAGGACATCCATGCTCAAGGAAAACCCAATGATAAACATATTAAAATGCGTCAACCTCTTGTACTTCGTAAGGCCGTGGATAATAAGATTTTTGCGAACGATGTGGATGAAGTAGAAATTCAAACAGCCATCGACAATGAGATAGATGACTTTTTCGCAACGGTCCCACCACTCATTGATGTGAATGTATCGGTCCGATACTTGCAATCGCGCCGGAATCCATATGCAGTAGACGGAAATATTAACGGCCGTTATAAGTGTGCCGATGAGGACTTTGAGGCGGTATGCTTTCTTTTTGTTGGTGAGGAGGATGCCGCAGCGGTTGACGATGATTTGGAGGAGGAATTGGACCTATCGGGAGAAGGTTAATTTTGGCGGTTCGCGCGGATCATTTTGAAATTCGTACCTGAAGAGCCCATGTCGTAACTGAGAAGCGGTCAGTAAAATTCATATCGAAGAGACTGAAAACTCACGAATTGTGAAATAGAATGCAAAGCTGTAGTTACTGTCAGTTAACGTTCTCATGGCCCGATATGGGACAACTCACCTTGGGGGTATAACGTCCAGTAAATGCAAGATACAAATAACCATAAAAATCGTACAGACCGTCAACTCCCCCCAGACCATGATAATATACGCATTTCGAAACACCCGCCGGCCATGGCGCTGATACACCTGCCAGGTCTGCCTAATGGCCTTGAAGACAGTCAACCATCCAAAACCAAGCGTGAAGCCGAACGCCGTCGAGGCGATGACAAGGTCACCTCTTGTAACCTCCTGGGCTTTGTAGTGGGGAGAGAGGAGGGTTAACATGGCATGTCAGACGGGGAATCATTTGGGCGTGATATCTCGGGTGATGTTTTCCATGGTTTGAGGAATTGGAGATGCATACGAGGGAGAGTGAAAAATTAGAAGAAGGACATCATAGACTAGAGGTGAGAAAAGCAAAGGCAGACTTGGCCGAGGGCACATGCAGGGCGATATGTAGCGGCGGGCTAATGATTGGGAGTTGTTGAGATGCTAAGTGAAGCCTCTTCATGCACGTCGGATCAAATAATGTATCATTGACGTAACTCGATCAGACAATGTCTGAGTGCGAGCAAGTACCGTCTACTGTAGCATCAACCAATGGGAAGAACCTTAAGAGTGCCTCTTTTCGCCCCTAATCTCCAAATTAGTTCAAACCTTTCCCCGCGTCGGCAGATTCCAGACCGAAAAGAGGCGTCTTCACTGCCGTCAGCCGTTAAGAACCGTGCTGTTATGCGCTGCAGTCTCCGAGTCGTGCTCGTGGCTTTTGCTTTGCTATGTGCTGCTTCTCCTGGAACATTGGGTAACAGGATCTGCGCGCCAAGTGACGTTCTGCGTTGGCCGATAAGTGACCTATCGATTAAAGGGTTGCGCATCAACCAATTGGCTGTCGTGAGTGGCTGCAGATCGGCGGTGATGTGGTGAGGCTGAGACTTTTCAACGAGTCAAGCAGGGAGAGTTTGAGGGAGCAGTTTCTGGAGTGTGTCCAATTGCATCGAAGTGAATTGATTCATTTCGTGGCAATCCAGCCTCTTTGGCCCCTCATATTCGAGCGGTCGATATCACTCTCAAACTCTATCCATCGTCTTCAAGGAAGCCTCTCGTATCGTAGCATCTTCATTCCGCCTACGAAGCCACTCTTCTCACCGCCTTGAGCATATTATCTATCAACATTCACATGAAAAAGAAAAGAAAAGAAAAGAAAAGAAACGTAATCAGGGTTATGGCGCAGGTCATCTGTCTTCCCATCGACTCGGTTCATCACCCGCGATTCCTAAGGATAATCCCTCCCCGCTAGCAACCGGATCGCCAAGCCACAGCTGCCGTTAGCACAGCCAAAAAATTGGGGGATCTTCCTTTGCGATGAAGATACTGCTTTCAGCTTTGCCGCGCTGCAAAGTAGCTGAGTCAGGATGGAGATGAATCGGGCGCGGCTCGTGCCGAGACCCATGACTCCAAACTGAGGAGTCGGCAATATCCCCGGAGACGATCAACTCAATTGTCGCTTATGCTGGTGATAAAATCGACACTAATGGACTCTAGGATTTGAGTGCCAGGGTTGGAATGTCAGCTGGACTCTACATGCAGCTTTTGGCGGCTGATGGCTGAGCTAAGGTTGAGTGCTGATGCGCCTCACATGCCTTGACACCGCTCAATCTGGCTTGGGTTTGCTACAGAGTATTACTGGCATGACACCTTGCGAAACGGTTCCAATGAGGGACAAACGAGCTCTAAACGAGCCCTATGACATTCTTAAAGTCGCAGAAATTGCCCAAGTCGTAGCACCAAGCCCAATCCATATGGGCAACCTTAAAGCTAATTAATTCAGTCGTTTACTTCACCGCAAATTCGAGCTGGTTGATCGGCCTCTAATTGAAGCCGGTGCAGATGAAACGGCACTCACGACACTAGCTAGTTCAGGAGGCTTAGGAATGGGTCTGTGCAAAGATCGATCATCTCTCTGCCGGTTTTAGAACTATTAAATGCGACGATCAGGTTTTAATGAGGCTGATGTCGACGAGAAGAATGCCAACCATGTCGAGGCAGCTGTTCGCCGATGGTGCCCAATCTGACTCAACTACCCTAAAGCTAGCCCCGATGCTGAAATTGCTAACGTTAACAGGCCCTAGGCCCTGATCTAATTAATATATATAGTACACTCGATATATTATATATAACCAGGCTTACCTAATTAGGTTATTTTAATTAACCTAAATATATAATTTAATAA